TTAGTCACACCTCATTATACGTTTGGCTGCTTTGTGCTTTATGAAGGTATTATTTTAGTGAAAATGAAACTCTAAGATGTGATTGTTGGAGATTTCTTGTGGTTTTAAAGTGTAGGACTCGTGACATCATGTTGTGAAAAACTCCCGTTTCAAACTTTATAACCTTACAAAGAAAGGACTTCCTGAATCAAACTTAAAATATGACATAATGTTCGAGGAAGACAAAATAGTCATTTCTGCAAAATGATCAATAGTTTTATTAAAGCATGTTAATACTGCACTATTAACATATATTTGTTGCATATTAACCCCATGTCAGAATGCTGTTCATGATAATCACAAGCTGTGCAAATATTGGACAGAAAGCATTCAGTCTGCTTTGTGTGCCTTTATCACAATGACAAAGCTCATCATTACTAAACGTCTGATGTGATATGATCTCTAATTACAAGGGTTTTTCTGCCTGTTTGTACCTGAACAACTAAACAAAACTGAGCTTCTCAAACAGGTTTCAAGGGTCTGCATGTAGTGCAGCCAGTGTCTGAAACAATCTTTCAGTAGTCGTGGATACAAGTACACAAATTTACAAGTTTGTCCCTCTAGAGCTGTTTTTTTTTTATATTGAAGAAACAAAAAAAGTCACATTAGCCACTTGAATTTTAAAAAAGTTCCAGTCTGGTTGTTTGGATCTTAGAAAGCAGCTGTTTCATTGCAGAACCTCAACCACTGGATAGATTTCAGTCCTGATTTATCAGCTTTTGACTGTAACTCATAACTGCTTCAGAAGTCTAAACAAGGGAAAATAGAAGGATTGTATTGACACGTGTCACATGTAGCGCTAATGGTTTTCCCCTTTTACTCACACATAGTTAGCTTTAGACTTTTAACATTGATTAAATGACTTTCACATATTCGATGCTTGAATCGGCTCCCTTTGCAACCGCAGACACAGTTTTAATGTACACATGCAAACCTAGACTGATTCATCGAGGGTACCTGGGGTTCAGCATCTTGCCCACAGGCACGTCAACAGCTGCAGGAGCTGGGGAGCGAACAAGTAACCTTCGAAATAGGAGACAATCTAAGCAGCTGTGAAAGGAAAGCTTTCTGAGGGCCTCGGGTCAGAAAGCAGTGAGGAGCGTAAGGGATCCATACAGGAGCTGAACAAGTAATCTATTGAAAAAGTCGACTTTTATTCATTCAAAAAGTCTTATTTATGTCACCTGGAAAAATTCATTTGTACCAACTGTAGTCCTTGTATCCACCTGTGAATGATTTCTGCTTTGCTGACGTTGAAGTTTAAATTGTGCAGAAACATCCAGCTTTGTTTTTGCACACATAATGATTTCTTTTACTGTTTGAGAATAAGCAGGAAGAAAAAATCACAGATATGAAAAAAAAGTAAAAATTATGAAGGAATTTCTTGCTACTGTTCATGCTGCTCATTGGGACACGTCATCATCACAGAGCCAACTTTGCAAATCAACAAGTGTGCTGTTAAAAAACAAAAACAAGTATGATGCAAAGTGTATGTGTGATTTTTTCAAACCTGCAGAAA